TGTATGAGTTGTATTCGTTAAATATTAAAGATTTTGAAGTCGATTTATGGGCGGTTTCTTTTGGAATTTAGTAATATTTGAAGAATTCAGAAGCTTTTGCTTTTGAAAAATTGTAGTAGATTTTGGGATTTTTTTTATTTGAAAATTGGTTATTATTTTTTAATTAAAAATTTGTAGATTTGGAACTTTTTTTATTGTTTATTTTTTAGGTTTTCAAATTTGGTAATCAAAATAAAAGGCTGTTTTTTTATTACCAATTAAAGTTTGAAAAAGAAAATAAGTCTTTTAAATTAAGTTTTAGAATTTTTTTTTTTTTACAATAAAATGAGTTTAAAATAAAGTACCGAAAGTTTTTATTTTAAGTAAATAAAAAAAGGTTTAATTTTAAAATAAAAGCATTTGTTTGTTTTTAAATAAGTTTCTTAAAAAAAAAAAGAATAAAAGATTTTTCAAATCAGTTTTTTAAAAAAAAATGAGCAAGATGTTTTAAATAAGTTTGGTGATAGAGATAAGGTTTTTTTTTTTAATACAAAAATTTAAAACGAATTTAAAACTCAAAATAAATTAAAGGTTTAATATTTTTTTCCTTTATAATAAAGAATCTCGTTTACCTTTTTTTTAAAACAAAATTTACGTATAAAGTTTTGTTGTTTAAAAAGAAATTTAAGTACATATCTTAGGGTATGACATAGTGGCAAAAACTTTGGTATTAACATCTATAATTCAAGTTCAAACCTTCATATTAAAAAATAAAAAGTTTGTATTATAAAAAATAATTTTAAGTCGCATCTTAAGGTTTTGGCACAGTGGCAAGAGCATGGACGGGTATCGTAGACGTTGAGACAACCAATATATTACTATCACTAACGGAATGCTGATGTGGCAGTTGATAAGTGTAATATTTATTTATTTTATATTAATTTTAGCTTAGGTGTCAAATTTTTTTCCTTTTACTCTTATGTTTCTCTCTCTCCCGTCCTTCTTCTTCTCCCGTACTCCTCCTTTCCAAATCCCTTCTTCTCATTTTCAAAACGATTACACCATTAATTAAAAGAGTTGGGAGAGAATAGGTGGGAGTGAAGTTTGGAAGAAACATATAATTTCGAGCGAAGATCTCTCAAATACACTTCTCCGTCTCTGAATCTCTTGACCATCTTCGAAATTAAGCCACTCATGGCTTTCACCATCCGGGATTTCTTCCTCGTCAGCTTCCTCAAGAAAGGGATTTCAGCTTCTTCAGTCTCCTCCTAATCGAAGCCCTTCCAATTCCAAAACTGATTCCTTGCCTCGATCTTCCGAACGCCTCCTCAAATTCCTCACTATGCCGAAATTCGCCTGAAATTCTTAGTCTGTACCGACGACGACGATATCCAATGCCCATTACCACTTAGAAGTTTCGCATATTGACGATTCCCAAAATCAAAATTTCTCAAAATCTTTGAAACCAAACCCAGATTCAAAATATTTGGGAAAAAATACAATTTGTTTAGGTGATTTGCTTTTGTGTTTATAGAAGACAGAATAAATTATAACCCCATTTATCGTGCTTTGAAGGATTTTATTTTATTTTCTGTATCCCTACCGTAGAAGGACTTGGAACGACTGAGCGAGGAGGAGGGGTGAAGAAGAGAGAAGAAGAGAGAAAAAAAAAACGAAAAGAAAAACAGAAAAGAAAAGAAATGACATGTAACCTAAAATTAATAAATAAATAAAATATAAATAACATAAATAAGTCAACATTTTGTGATATTAATGGAAGTTTGACCCCAGGAACTTTAGAACTATTTTTTAAAAGTGAGGACCAAAGTGTCACCTTTTAAAATTTAGAGACTAAATAGAAACTTATCATCAAACTCAAGGACAAAAGTGTATTTTACCCTCTCCCTTTTTCTCTCTTATGGAATGTCTCACCTTCACTTTTATTTTTTACAATTTATTGCAAACTTGATCCGCAAGTACAATAAAAAGTTGTATATTCAAATTAGTTTAGTTTTTTATTTAATGAATATTTATTGATATTTTATATTATATTTGTTTGGCAGAAAATTTTTCAACTGGGCAACAAAACACTTAACCAATTTAAGGTGGTTGAAATGTTTAGAGCATTAATTTGACTTGATCAAGTTATTTTGAAATGTCTTGAATGAAAGAAATAGATAGAATTATCGATCTTTAATCACTATAAATTTGGTTGAATGTTATATGAAACTATAAATATTGGATATTTTCTATAATTCAATTTTGATTTATTTTTGTTGATTAATTAATAAGAATCGAGTCTTGTCTTATTATTTTTATGAAAAAAAGTGCATTATTGTAATGTCAATAACTTAACCAAAATTTAAGACATGTTAGGTAAGACATCAATGAAAATGTGTTACACACAACATCAATTACAATATTGATCCAACCATATAGATGCTTAAACATATAAGCAAACCAACATGCTCATAAGAAAATTAAAATAGATCCAATAGTTAAAAACAATGGTAAAATACACTTTTTGTCCCTGAGTTTAAAGATAGATTTCTATTTGGTCTCTAAATTTAAAAAACTGATACGTTAGTCCTAATTTTTAGAAAATGATTCTAAATAATCTCCGAGAATAAATTAACGTTAATGTATTTAATAGAAAAATGATGTAGTAGTTAAATTGACGAGTGGACTCTACTAACTACGATTTTTAGATGAGTTGTTAAAATATATTTATTTTATAGTCATTCTAAGGCTGACTAGGTATTTTCCATCCCTTTCATTTTCCTCCTCTCTCTCTTCTTTCCTTCCCCTCCCATCGTTCTCACACGGGAGGAGGAGAGATGAAAGGGAAGAGGAAAAGAGATGGAAAATGCCACCTCATCTCTAAAATATTTATAAAATTAGTATAGTTTGACACCTCAACTAAAAAATCCAAGTAGAGTTCACTCATCAATTTAACCACCGCACATTGTTCCGTTAAATATACTTAATGTTAATTTGTTTTCAGGTATTATTTTAGAATTATTGTCTAAATATTTGGGATTAAAGCGTCAGTTTTTGAAACTCGGAGAATAAATAAAAACCTTTTTTCGAACTCAAAGACTAAAAATATATTTTATCTTAAAAATAATTACATAGAGTAGAAAAACTATAAATAATTATTTGAAAAATATCATGGTGAACTATTAATAAAGAGGAAATTGCGCCTGATGACTTTAGTTTTAGGTGTCAATAAGATATGATTCTACTTTGGACAACTTGTTATTATGTGCTTGTGACATCATATGTGAAATTACATTTTGACTCATCTCTATGTATTTCTTTATTGTTTTTTTTTCTATTGAGTTAATTTTTTTAGTCAGCTTATAATTTTCAAAATTTTCTTCTCTAAATTTTCTGGTAACTTTTGCTCGGTGAATTTTATTTTATTTTTATTTATTTACTGTTTATTTTTATTCTTTTCTATTGAGTTCAATTTTTTCCAACTCGAATCTCTCAAATTTCTCTAAGCAATAACATAATTTTTACGCTATTAATTTTATTTCATTTTTTATTTGTTCACTTTAATTTTTTTTCTTTGTTTTTAAAATCAAAATCTTGAGTTAATTTTTTCTCAACACGAAATACCCAATGTTCGCTTCTCTTTCACGTTTTCTTAATTATTTTTTTATATTTTTTTCTCGTATCTCTATCTCTATATCGGCCTGTATCTCTACCTCCTACCTCGAGTTGGAAAAATAATTGAAAGAGAAAAATAAGGTATAAACATAATTAGATGTATGGATACAAATAGATATATAGGTAGTAGTAGAGATAAAAATAGAATTAAAATATAAATAAAGAATCAGAGTTGAAAATTTTAAATGATAAATAAGGAATCATAGTTGGTGAAAATTTTAAAATGATAAATAAGGAACCATAGTTGAAAAAAATTGAAAGAGAAAATTAAGGAATAAAGAAAAAATGAAAGTACGTCGTAAATATAAGCTATTGCTATCACTACTGTTACAGTTATTATCTCTATCTCTACCGTTATCGTTATTGCTATGAGATGGAATTGGAAGTATTTTGCTAATATAAACTATTGCTATAGCTACCTTTATCCTTATTCTCTACCGCTATAGCTACCTTTATCGTCATTCTCTATCGTTATAACTACCTTTACCGTTATCGCTATAACTAAAAGAAATAAGTGAAGGACATAGAAAGTAATTTATCGTGATAGGATGATGTCAGCAAGGTCATATTAACAAGTTTTATATAATCGTGTCATATCTCATTTACACCTCTAAATTTATATCATTCTTGCGATTCTCCCAATATTAAATCGTGAATAATAAGATAAATTTAAAAATAGTATCATCATAAATAAGTAAAACTTTATGAGAATTACATGTAAAATAACAAATAATTTCATACATAAAATACAAACTGTCAAAGTTCAAACTTTACACAATGTATGTACAAGGTATATAATAGATACACACTGTATATATGAAATGTACGGAAACGTCGGCTACAGGTTACAAAAATCAAAATAAATTTTACTTTTATTGGCCTGATAAATTTGTTATAAAACTAAGAATAGAAATAAAAACAAGAATAAGAACACCTACATAGCATGAGAGAAGATTTATTCGTTAAGTATATTTTTATTACAACACGATCCGATGATAATTCAAACTTACAATCTTTTCGTTGAAAATAGATTTATTAATCCGTTGACCATAGTTCATTAATCCGTTGAACTATGCTTACATTTGCAACATGCAACATGTGAGTGGAGTTGTGAGATGTTTACACAAGAACTCATAAAACTACCATGATTACAATAGAAGTCACAAGATGGTGTGGAGGGTGTGGACATATACATTTTATCATATTTATTACAAAATCTTAGATTTATTTATTTTTTGGTATCATTTGGCCAAAAACCCTTACCCGAAACCGCCCGGCGACGCGACGAGCGGCGCGGCGAACGGCAAACAACGACAGCGCCGAGGCAGACGACGGCCGGGGACAGATTTTGGCGGCGACTTCTTCGGTTTCTCCACGAACGGCGCAACGAGACCTACGTCTCCACTAGCGCCTCCTTCTCTTCGGTTGAATGGGCAGCTCTCAGCTTCTCTTTGGTTCTTCCTTCTCCCTCAAGGTACAACCACCGCCCCCTCCGCTACAACCAAATAATGTTAAATCATAAACACACAAAAGCAGGCAACGTATCAGTTTCGTCGCTTACTTGCATTTCGTGACTTGTAGCCGTTAATAATCCATAAAAATGTGGAATTTTTTTAAACTTCTGAACTTTTTCTTGTCTGCAAATGGAACTTTGATTTTAGCCTTGGAGATTTGGTGTTTGGTTATTTCAGGAAATTTATATTTCTAATGACTTAAATAATGAAAAAAGCTTATCACATAAGTTATCTTAGCTTTATTAGGCGGAATTGATCAACGTAGAAGCTAAATATGAAAATATAATTTAGGGGTTTTCTTCCCTGTGCCTTAATTTTGTTATGATGTCTTTTCTGTGCTTAACGTAGCTCACTTAGCTTTGTTCGGCGAAATTGATCAACGTAGGAGCTAATATGAAAATATAATTTAGGGGTTTTCCTCACTGTGCCTTAATTCTTTTGTTCTGTCTTTTTCCTCTGTACTGAAACATTTTCAGTGCTGTTTGCATTTGCCATCTCTCAACATAAGAAGCAATCAAGCTTCTAGGACTTGCGTGGCCATGAAGAGGCAGGAAGAAACAGTTGCAGCTGAAAATGGTCAGTCTGAGATGAGAATTCCTCATGTGTTGAGCATTGCTGGTTCTGATTCAGGAGCAGGGGCTGGAATCCAAGCAGATCTTAAGACTTGTGCTGCTCGTGGAGTCTACTGCTCCACTGTGATAACTGCTGTTACTGCACAGAACACTGTGGGGGTTCAGGTCCGTATTTTAACACATATTTATCTATAATTGTCTATTGATGTCTTTTTCTTTGGGTTGAAAGGACACTAGGAAGGATTGATAAATAAAGAAACATTGACTTCTTGGCCTGTTTTGATCATAATGGGTTTTAGAAAATGCGTTAACATGTTGCAATCATCTGATTCCTAGTAGTGAGTTTATGGTGATTTTTGAAAAAGTTGAAAGCGCCTCTTCTGAAAGAACTTTCGGATTTTAAGTGGAAAAATAACTAATTAAGTACTTTTCAAGATCTGTTTGGGAATGCCTTGAACATTACCCTCGAAATTAACATGTTTGGCAGTAAGATAAAAGTACTTTTAGAAAAATATCAAAAGTACTTAAAATGCTATTTAAGAAAGAACTTCCAGTGCGTATTTTGTCAAAGTGCTTGACCGAGAAGGACTTTTGGTTAAAGTGGTTAAGGTACTTTTGCTAAAAGCACTTATTCTTCAAGCAACCCCTAAACACATCTTTAGTTTTTTTCATATTTTTCAAAATTACTTCTGATCATCTAATCAAACATTGGAAATGTTGAAAGTGTTTTTAATGAACGAAAAACACTTTTCATCTTTGCAAACATCATTCCAAACTCCCTTTGGCTTTAAGAATATACCACATCCTTGAAGTTAGTTTTTGTTTAGTTTGAGATCAAATTAACTAAAGATGTTTCATAAATTATACTTCTTGTAACATGAATTTTATTTAACACTTTGGTGTTATAACTTTGTCAGGGAGTAAACATTGTGCCGGAGGGTTTTGTTTCAGAGCAGCTGACATCTGTTCTCTCTGATATGCAAGTGGATGTGGTGAGCATTTACTTACGATTGGGATTCAGTGTTTGTTGCTCCAATTAATTTTTTTGTTTTTAGAAAAGGAAGCTTTGAATTGGGATCGCCTATTAAAAGTTTTTTTGGAGCTCATGTGAACTAGATTGTGGACTGTTCATGTATAGGATATTGTGCAATGTGCAGGATAGCTCCTGTTGGTTTTCCAGTGTACTTACTAATATGTACTTGTATGTAAGCTGAAAATGAAGCTAGAAGAGTACTGACGTTGACATTAAATTTAGGTGAAAACAGGAATGCTACCTTCTACTGGCATTGTTCAGGTTCTACATCAGCACCTGAAGGAGTTTCCAGTTCGAGGTATGAAGTAATTCAGGAAGTTAATTGTGCATTTCCTTGATTTGTTAATTCATTCTTTTAATATTATTAAAGGCAGCTTTGGTGATTGATCCTGTGATGGTATCTACCAGTGGAGATGTTCTGGCCGGTCCTAACATTCTTTCAGTGTTACAGTAAGTAGATTCTCTCTCTAAAAGGAATATCACGTGTCCTTCAAACTATTTCTATTTTTGTGATTGTGATTGTGATTGTGATTGTGATTGATTATCTTGCTGTCCAAGTTTGCGTTTTTTTAATATCTTCAAAATTAGTATAAATCTTTCCCAATGGTTTAAACAGCTTTTGAGGCTTGGAGCTCAAACTTTTAGTCTTCAGGCTCACAAATTCTTCGGATCGTATGAGACTTGCACTGCTTATCGGAGAGGCTTGCATCTCATGAGAATGCATTGGAGCTTGAAATCTTATGTCTAATGTAGGGTGAACAGACCAAATCGAAAAATAGATTGAAACAGACCAAACCAATGTCAGTAAATTGGTTTTAGAGTGATTTTCGGTCGACTTTAGTTTTTAAAAATTAAAAACTGATACTTCAGTTGGTCGGAGGTGTCAGAAAGCACCATTTCCGACTGACCAATCGACCAAGGTATAAAATAAAAATTTATTGCCCCACATTAGTATCCCCTTTTGTAGAAAAAAGCTTTTTCCTTTTTTGTAATTCCTCTCTCCCTCCCACACCACGTGTTCCCTCCCTCCATTTCTTCTCCCTTCTCTCTCCCCCAGTTTTTCTTTCCTCTCTGCCTCATTCTCTGCTCCCTCTATTTTTTTCTCCCTCACCTCTCCCCCTTCTCATTTTTTTCTTTCATTTTCCTTCAACTTTCTCCTCTCATTTCTTCATCCCTTTCCCTCTCCCTTTCCCCTCCTCTNAACCTTGGCATTTCTTTTGGAGCCTCTCATAAGTGTTCAAAGCTTGGTAAGCTAACGACCATAAGAAAACCTTCACTTTCTTCGGGATGGCATCTTTCCAAATAAAATTAATTAGAGGAGACTGAAGCGAATTGACATTGGTATCCACAAGATTCAAAAATGCTGATTTCGTAGAGAAAAGCCCATCCCCCTCGAGGTTCCACACAATCTTATCATCATCCTCTCCGAAAACAACATCCTCTCCGAAAACAACAGAGCCTCTGCACCAGCCTCATCCATTGCTCAACTTCTCTATCAAACAAACCCCTCCTTATGCCAACACTAAAAAATAGATGCATTCTGCTTTAAAGAAAGGGCAAACATATCCGGAAAATCGTGTGCAAGAGGCAAGATGCCCGCCCATTTATCCAGCCAAAAGCTAAGTCTAGTTCCTCGACTCACTTTAAAGACCACCGTTTCTTTAAAAGAGTCCACATTTTTGGCAATATCAAACTAAGGTCTCCCCCTAGCCTTTCCTTTGGGAGCTTTCGACATCCAACCATACTTATCAACACCATAAATGCTAGCTGTGACTCTCCTCTATAGAGCATTATCTTCCTGTGTAAACCGCCATAGCCACTTTGTTAACAGAGCTGTGTTCTTAAAGGCGAAAACCATCGATTCCCAACCCTTCCAACTTCACAGGAAGCAAGGATATATTCTTTTTTTTAGATAAGAAACTTTCTTTGGATATATCAAAAAAGGAAGACAGACTAAAGGCTGGGGTAGAGGAAACCCCACCTAAAAAACTAAACAACCGCTATCCAGTTGTGCATGAACATGGATAGGTTTTAATTACAAAAGAATTTACTATAATTGATGCACCACCAAGAGGTAGTGTGCTGTACATTCCTACAAAAGAGATCGAAAGTATTGGACTTATCTTCAAAAACCCGATAGTTTGTTTCGAGCCAAATATGCCAAAGGAGAGCTCTAGAGGCACAACACCAGATAAACCTTGTTTTCTTAGGGAAGGTCCAACCATGAAGAGCTTCAGCCATCCAATCTTCAATCTGTTTTGGGAAGCAAGTGGAGATCTCATAAATATTTAGGAGGAAATGCCAAATCTGTGAAGCAAAAAGGCAGTGCAGAAACATGTGATCCATGTTCTCACTGTGCTTCATACAAAGAGTGCAGACCGAGGGGGACAGTGTCTAGTTCCTACACTTTCTTTGGAGTTTATCATGGGTATTCAAGCTTCCATGGGCAAGGGACCATAGGAACACTTTTACCTTCTTTGGATCCTTAAAATTCCACACTGCCGAAATAAGAGGGGACCTCAAAGAGGGGCTGCAATCCACCAAATTCAAAAAGGCCGAACGAGTGGAGAACCAACCATTTTTGTCTATGGACCATACTACTCGATCCTCACCTTCCCCTAGTTGCACCACATCAATTTGTTGAATAAGCCCCATCCATCTCTCAACCTCCCATTCGAAAAGGCCTCTGCGCAGCCCAATATCCCAATCATTTTCATTTATGTTCCAACACTCAGCTACCGTTACCTCCTTTTTTGAAGAAAGATTGAACATGGCAGGGAACAAGTTTTGGAGAGAATCATTCCCAATCCATTTGTCCGACCAGAATTTAACTCTACTTCCCATTCTCACCTTGAAATCAAGGAACTTGAAAAAGAACGTGCTGTTTTTAAAAATATCAAACCTCGGCCTTCCCCTAGCACGTCCTTTAGGAGTCAGTGTACGCCATCCCTGGGAATCTTCTCCATAGATACTTACAATCACCTTCCGCCACAAAGCATTAGTTTCTTGGGTAAATCTCCACAACCATTTAAGCAATAAGCTATTGTTCTTTTGATGTAAGGCCCCTATACCAAGACCTCCATATTGCAACAGAAGCGCAGTCTTCCCCCAATTCACCAAGTGGTTACAAGGGTTTTTTAAAGTACCCCCATTCCAAAAAAAATCCCGTGTAAGCTTCTCTATCTCGTTGACTAACTCTCGTTGGGGCTTTTAGGACTGAGAAAAAGTAGAGAGGAAGACTAGTAATCACTGACTACGCGAGTGTAAGCCGACCTCCCTTTGAGAGTTAAAGATTCTTCCTTGTCAATCTTTTTTCTAACTCTATCAATCAGAGGGTCCCAGAAAGATTTCTTCTTATAATTGCCCCCCAAAGGAATTCCCAAGTAGGGAAAGGGAAGCCTTTCCACTCTGCATCCCATTTTTCTGGCAGTAGCCTGAAGCAAGTCTTCTTCTACATGAATTCCAATGATGACCGTTTTATTTAAATTCAAAGACAGCCCGGATGCTTGTAGAAAAATGTCTGGGATCATCCACCAATTTTCCAACATACCTGTCTTATTTGGACAGAAAATGATAGTGTCGTTTGCATACTGCAAATGTGAGATCTCCACCATCTATCTGCCTATACCGAAGCCTTTAATCAGCCTTCTTTGACTACAATAATGAACCAATCTGCTGAAAGAATCTCCTATTATAGTGAAGAGAAAAGGGGAAAGCGGATCCCCTTGTCTCAAGCCCCGTTTTGCAAGAATTTTTCCTTGGGGTCTACCATTTATAAGCACGGAAAAGTTTGTTGAAGATAAACAGCCCACGATCCATCTTCTCCATCTAGGACCGAAGCCTTTTTGTTCCATGACTGCCTCCAAATATGACCAATCAACTCTATCATAAGCTTTCTCATAATCAAGCTTTAACACGAAACCGGACTTCTTCCTCACCTCCGACTGCCTCGGAAGCAATTAGGATAGCATCTATGATTTGTCGCCCTTCTATGAAAGCTGATTGTGCATCGTGAATAATCGTCGGCAAAACTTTCTTTAGTCTTTCCGCAAGAACCTTTGAGATGATCTTGTACAGAGAAGTAACCAAGCTGATTGGTCTGAACTCTCGCACCTTCATTGACTTCAATTTTTTTGGGATCAAACAAATATATGTCTCATTTGTGCAACGGTTTATAATATCATTTCTAAAGAATCTTAGAACACCCCTAAAATGTCTTGCTTGAGGATGTCCCACGATTTTTTATAGAATTCGTTTGTGAAACCGTCCGGCCCTGGGGACTTCAAATTTCCTAGGCTGAATACAGCTTGCTGTATCTCTTCGATTTCAAAAGGTCTTTCCAGCCAAGTAGATCATCTCTCCTCAAGTCCACCCCATTTAATATCTTCAATCAGAAAACGAGGCCTCGAGACTTCCCCGTATAAACGCTCATAGAACCCAACTATCTCTTGCACAATCTCATTTTCTGAGGTGAGTAAGTCTGCATTATCTTTTTCCAACAGTGAGATAATGTTTTTAGATTTCCTAGCCGAAGACCATCTGTGGAAAAAATTGGAGTTCTCATCCCCATCTTTTAGCTACTCTAACTTACACTTTGAGCCCACCTTATCTGCTCTCTGATGGTTAGCTCGAAATACGTCTTCTTGAGCTCCTCTCTTTCAATTTTCTCTGTCTCAGTGAGGATCCTCTCCTCCTCAAGTTTGTCAAAAGTTTCAATTTTTCTTTCAGTTTTTTAAGTCATTTTCAACCACCCCAAACGTCTCCTTATTCCACTTTCTCAACAAAATTTTGATTTCTTTCGGCCTTTTCATGAAAGCATAACCTGGCCAACCAACCGAAGGGATGGACTTCCACCATGACTCCAAATTTTCCTTAAAAGAGGGGGGATCCAACCACATGTTTTCAAAGCGGAAGGGGGAAGGACCCCATTTTTGATTACCTAGTCTCAGGTGAAGGGGAAAGTGGTCCAAGGTAATTCGAGGGAGCCGAAGTAATTCCACTTCTTTAAAATCTTCACCCAAGTCTTAGAAAGCAGAAATCTATCAATGCGAGTAGCAACCGGCCTGTCTCTACCATCTGACCAAGTAAAAGCTCCATTCTTCATGGGAATGTCAATCAAATTCAGTTCATCAATCAAAAGGTTGAAGTTTTTCATACTTTTCGTAACTCTGCCCCCCTTTGATTTCTCCTAAAGGCTTCTCACCACATTAAAATCGCCCCCCACACACCAACGATCCGCACAAAGGCCATTCAAATAAAAAATCTCTTGCCAAAAGTCGTCTCTGCCTCTATAAGAAGAGGGCCCATAAACACCTGTGATCCATCTGTGAAAGCTATCTTTGAAAATAATTAGAGAATGTACCTAAAACCGACTCCACCACCTGGACCGAGTTTTGGTTCCACATTATGATCACACCTCCCGCCGAGCCTTCCGCTTCTAACTCAGACCAGCCTATGTGTCTCGAGCTCCAAATAGACTTCACTAACCTTCTGTCTACCGCTTGAAGTTTCGATTCCTTGAAGTTTCGATTCTTGTAACATCACCACAGTCAGACACCTGTTTTCATGTTTTCATGCTTTAGTTGGTTTGTACAAAGCTAAAAAGAAGTAAGTTGGTTTTGTTCTAAAACCGACCCCTGCACCCCTATTTTAATCTAATGATTAGAAGAATAATACTAATATTTTATTGCAAAATTTTATAAATCTTGCTGTCTTTTTAAAAATATTGAGTCTGATGTCTCATCTCTTTAGGATTAAAAGTCTAAAGCTATCTTTAGCCTTTAAATTGAATCCTTTGGCTAGATGCCTAGATGTATTTGACTTACAAGATTTTCTAGTCTTTGTTCGACTAGAAGATACTCCCACAAACTTGCCTCTTCTTGTGGCCCCCAAGGTGTGTCATTGTTGGTAAGAAATTACAACCTTGGAGCCCCTCCAAGTCCTTAATCCAAACAGTGGATGCTAGGGATCAAGAGAATTAATTCCCATACCCATTGAAATCTTCTAGAGCTGGTGGGGCAGGTGCATTCCCCTGGGGATTAGGAGAGGGCGTTTTGAAGCCATAATTTACTAATTGGACGAAAATAGTGGTTTTCCATTTTCCTAAATTACATTTGATCTTAATATCTTGGTTTTTCGTAAATAAATGATATTGTCTCTTGCTTGCAGGGAAGAGCTTTTACCTATGGCTGACCTGGTAACCCCAAATCTGAAAGAAGCATCTGCCTTACTTGGTGGTATGCCACTTAAAACAATTTCTGACATGCGTCATGCTGCAACATTAATCCATCAGATGGGGTCAAAGTAAGTTGTGTGAGACTCAAGAAATTTTCAGTTTACCTCTAGTTACAGAGACACAAATATCATTCTAATTAATTCAAAGATGTACTTTTGAACAAATACTAATTCTTTGGTCGTTTGAATTACAATTAATTGTTTCAAAGATGCATTAAAAATTTTTAGTATTGTATCTACAATCCTATCCCATTTGATAACAATTTTAGTTTTGGTCTCCGCTTTTTATTTTTTATTTTTTATTTTACTTATTAACACTACTTCCACCTTTTTTCTCTTTTTTTTCCTTCCTTTCCTATTTATGTTGTTTTTGAAAACTTGTATTTGTTTTTGGAATTCGGCTAAGAAATTAGATGTATTTTTGATTGTTGGAAAACACAACAAAGTAATGGTGATGAAGCGACCACAATTTAAAGAAAAAAAAAGTTGTTATCAAATGGGCCTACTGATTTGTGTTAGGAATATCACTAGGGTGGTAGATGTTAGATATATTATTAGGATACTAACGGGCAAATTGCTGGTAATTAGCAATTTGTCCCCAGGGTGGGTTCTTATCTAAAATATTAAAATCTAACTAGTTTTCTAACAACAAAATGGTATAGGATCATTCGGTTCTCTTATGAAATTAGTCCAAGTGCGCATAAGTTGATTTGGACTCTCATGAATATTAAAAAAAAAAAATGATAGAGGAGGTTATTAATAGGTTGAGGAAGAGAGGTGAAGGTAAGCAATTTCTTAGTTATTTATTTTTTTTTTGTGAAAGAAACAATTTCATTGATGAATGAAATTACAAAAGCCTCGTACTGAGGAGATTACATGAAGCACTTCCAATTTGCTAAGAGGGAAGTGTAGCTATAGTAGTGAAACATAGGGGAGGATTTACACCAAGTAGTGACCGTAAACACTATAGCTTCAAAAAATTTATCAAAGAGGAGAGTTTTGTCTGTGAATATACGTTGGTTTCTTTCTCTCCAAAGGTTCCAAAAGAAAGCTCTCATGAAGTTTTGCCAAAGAAGAGCCTTTTCCTTTTTGAAAGGATGACCTGTAAGAGTAACTTCGAGAAGGAGGGGAGGATCGGTCGGTAAAGCAGTGGTCCACCCAAAAGTACTTAGGATGCGGTTCCAAAAGTTTGTAGCAAAGTGACAATTGGTAAAGAGATGTTGTTGGGTCTCATGGTTTGATTTGCACATCACACACCACTGGGGGGAGAGAGCCATGTAAGGCATTCTTCTTTGAAGCTTATCACCGGTGTCGATTGCACGATGGCTGAGCTCCCAAAGGAAGATTTTAACTTTTTTTTGGATATGTGTCTCTCCAAATGCCCTCATACAATCGTTGTGGGGTATTCGTGTAAGGCTGTGAGAGATCTTTAATAAGAGAGTGGGTAGAGTATATGCCATTTGTTTCTAATTTCCATGTTAGAGAATCTGCTTCTGTAGATAAGTTAACAGTGGAGAGCTTGTGTGTGAGGGCTGCCCATTCTATAATTTCAGCATCCTTTAAATTCTTTCTCAGACGTAAATTCCAGCTATTGTTTTCTACAGACCAAAGCTCACGAACAGCAACTTCTTTTTTCAAATATAAGGCAAAAAGAAGAGGATAGTGGTGTTCCAAAGGTTCATTGACCAACCATGGGACAGTCCAGAAAGGTGTATCGCTCCCATCACCAATTTTGTAGATCAGTCTATCGGGGAGTGATGTTGTGTTAGGCTTGTGGGACCAAGATGGGCAACCATACTTAGAATCAATCACTGTATGCCACAAAGCCTTCTTTTCTTTGATATATCTCCAGATCCATTTAGCTAGAAGTGATGCATATTTCTGGTTGGCCTACGATAAGATGATTTCTCGTGTGTCCACCTGATAGAATTAAAATCACCTCCCAAAAGCCATGAGTCGGAGCAAAGGAGTGAGAGATCGGATAGCTCTCTCCAGAAAGATGGCTTTTCCTCTGATTTTGTAGGGCCATATACTCCTGTCAACTAGAATTTTGAACCGTTAAACAGTGTGAGAAGGATAGTAAGAGTGTAGAGCCCTCTGATACATGGAAGGAGGGGTCATTCCACATGATCGTGATACCCCCTGATGTGGCCGAGGCATCAAGAGAAGTCCATCCAATGTCGCAGGAGCTCCACAGCGACTTGATAGTGAGGCGATCAACCACATTCAACTTAGTTTCTTGTAAGATGACAATGGTGGGGTTGTGTTTGGTGATGAGTGACTTTATCAAGGCTCATTTGTTCCAAGAGCCAAGACCCCGAACGTTCCAAGAGATGATAATCATCTAACAGAGGATGACCCACCCTGCTTAGATTGATGCTTCTCGTAATTAACGGTTGAGGAGAGGCCAGCAAGTTCTTTAAGACCCTTGTATTCTTTCCGATTTGTCGTTGCTTTCTTGGAGAGCTTTATGGGTATGGGAAAGATGCCCATGCCCATGGTGTTGAGCCAAGGAACAACCACCTGTAG